CATTATCATTATCATTATTTATACGACTCGAATAATCTATTTAAATGTACAACTATACAAAAGGAGTGTTATGACATATTACGTAGTGTACATGTGTGTTGCACGTCGAAAAGGCGAGCTGCATAGTACTTTGCATTCGTTCAGAAGTTTGCAAGTATATCATACCTTGCCAGACGCGGTTCCTCCGGTAACTCCGATCAAAAACGGGCGATCTTTGCACTGCGGCAGTGAGAATAGAGAAGGGAGAACACTTGAATCACGGTCAGCCATGACTACAACTGCGATATGGCTACAGAGAACAAAGATGCTTCGTGTATATGACGAACAACCACTGAATATTCAGTCTCAACTTCAATATTGTACTTCTACTCAAAGTAGTGAGGATAGACACTACAGAGCAAACTGATCGCGCGATAATCTCTGGACTACTAAGGTATAAAGTAAGTGGTGTTGTATCGTGCTGACGTGTACATATAAAGTCGCTTGATTTGTGAAGTGCCCTTGATTGAAGGCCCCTCTACTAGTAGGCGGGCACAGGCCCCAGAGTTGATTCGCAAAGTACAGACCAAAATGTAGTACAATAAATTGACCGGTATATTATACTACAATCTGATAAGTATAAAATACGGACAAGAAGAGGTTATAATAAATAAATATATTGTCACAGACTCATATCATTGTGGCTAGTCTACCGTGCATATATATTTCCTAACCATTTATCAACACACACAAGGAGATCCATATGACTGTCGAACGGGCGCTCGTTCATGCTAGGCCTTGCACAATATGGAATACCAATTTCGCGGGAATGAAATGGGACAAATGGGATCCTGACGTGGAAGCCGTAGAGGATGTGAAAGGGGACATGGAAAACGGCAGCTCACTTGTATTTGTCATGAACGACAACAGTGGCAAGTACAAGACTATTTTAAGTGATGTGGTGAAGAATGAAAGGTTTACTTTCTCAGGGAGTCTTATGGGAGGTCTGCTGGTCTTTAAAGGAACGTTTGTTTTGACACCAGAAGGCGACGATAAGACCAACGTAGAGTACAGTTTTAGTATGTACGGACTTCTCGGGGGACCCGTGGGATTTTTAAAGAGCAAAGCTATCGAGGGTGGCTGTGAAGGCGGACTAAAAAATGTCAAGGAGTTTAGCGAGGCAGCTGAAGCAGCAATGTCGGATAGTTTATGTACATAGGACAACCACTGTCGTTCGGATTGTAGCGTGTCCGCATACTTCTCGGGGGACCCGTGGGATTTTTACAGAGCAAAGCTATCGAGGATGGCTGTGAAGGCGGACTAAAAAATGTCGAGGAGTTTAGCGAGGTAGCTGAAGCAGCAATGTCGGATAGTTTATGCACATAAGACAACCACTGTCGTTCGGATTGTAGCGTGTCCGCATGTAAGTGATGGCGAAGAGTTGTAATATAGACATGACGATTTTGTATATCGATATATTTATTTTATGATTTATGATTGATATTTTTCTCCCGTTCTCCTTCATCGCTCTAAGCTTCGTTTGCAAAATTCTTCAGCGATCTGGATCTAAGGACTACAGAAGTGTTTAGCAAGCCTGTAATTGCACAGACTATACTCATGGAGAGATTCAACAGCTGTGAATTGTCTGAATCTAAATGAATAAAGATGAGCCTTTAAAATGTAAAACAATTGAGTAGTGTTCTGCTAAATACAGCAAGCGCGCTTAATGTGTATAGACTCTGATATTGCACTTCTTAAGCAACTAAACTATAGGTATCTGAAATTCTTCTAGTACAATCAGATATGCATATCTTCAATATA